AAATCGGTTATTCTGTCACTCGGTGAAGTTCCTCTTCCCGGCAACAAACAATGAAGTCGAATACGAAGCACTGCTATCCGGACTGAATTTGGCAGAATCCATGAACGTGACCCACCTCAAAGTCTACTCAGACTCCCAACTCCTTGTCAATCAAATCAATGGTTCATATGAAGTCAAAGAACCTCGGTTGACACCCTATCTCTCTTTGGCCAAACGGAAATTATCAAAATTCTCCGCCGACCTCGAGCATATCCCCCGAACTCTTAATGTTCAAGCAGATGTCCTATCTCGACTTGCGTCCAGTACCGGGATGGAGAGCGCGGAGTACGTCCAAATCGGCCAACAAGAACAACCGTCAACTGCCCTTTCCGAGGTTACGACCATCAATCCGGTAACATCACAAAAATCACCAACCTGGATGGATCCTATTATCCACTATCTAGAAACTGGGGCCTTACCCCCAAACCCAAAAGAAGTTCGAGCACTTCGGATTCGGGCAGCTCGGTACACATTGGACAACGGAACTTTGTTCAAAAGGGGGTACTCCGTTCCTCTTTTGAAATGTGTAAGTGAAACTGATTCACGATACATTCTTGAAGAAGTTCACGAAGGAATTTGCGGAAGTCACCCCGGTGCACAAGCATTATCTTATAAAATCCTGCGACAGGGTTACTAATGGCCGACCCTGAAAACCGACGCCGCCACATGGGTGCGCAAATGCCCGAAATGCCAAATGTTTGCACCGAATGTTCATCAGTCTCCCGAAGAACTCAAATCGATTTACAGTCCGTGGCCTTTTGCCAAATGGGGGATTGATCTTATAGGTCCTTTACCCACCGGAAAGGGAGGTGTCCGGTTTGCTATCGTGGCAGTCGACTATTTCACCAAATGGGCCGAGGCCGAACCGTTAGCCACGATAACCGAACAGAAGGTCGTCGATTTTGTGTGGAAGTCAATTATCTGTCGCTTCGGGGTGCCGAATTCCATCATAACCGACAACGGTAAACAATTTGAAGGCAAACGACTTGAATCCCTGTGCGAAGAATACAACATCAAGCACTTCTTCTCATCGCCTTACCACCCGCAGTCCAACGGTCAGGTTGAAGCTGTAAACAAGCTCATAAAGAACGGTCTCAAAGTCCGACTTGACACCGCCAAAGGAGCTTGGCCTGAGGAGTTGCCACATGTCCTGTGGGCTTACCGAACTACCACTCGGACGTCTACCGGCGAGACCCCATTTTCCCTAACTTATGGTTCCGAAGCCGTTGTTCCGGTTGAGCTCGGAGAACCGACCTACCGAGTTCAACATTTCACCGAAGAAGCCAACTCGGAAAACATGAAAGCTGGTCTGGACCTGCTTGAAGAACACAGTACCCGGTCCGAACTCAGGAATGCCGCGTACAAGCAAAGAAATGAAAGATATATCAATTCTAAACTCAAACCCCGTTCGTTCCGGGTTGGAGATTTGGTCCTCAAACGTATAATGGGGCCTGACCCCGGACCACTCAGACCGCGGTGGGAAGGACCCTTTCAAATCATTAAAATCCTACCTCATGGGGCCTACTGGATTGCTCATCCCGATGGAACACCACATCAATATCCCTGGAATGCAGTGTTCTTGAAAAAATTCTATCAATGAAGGATCCGAAGTCATACAGTCGACCTCCCTTCTATACGGACCTTCTTTTGCCTCGGTGAATGCATGAAATCACCACTTTTGATGTACTGGTACTGGAAAACCTGTCAGTTTGCGTTTTTTGAAAAGTCGAGCAACAAGCTCGATATCGATGTAAACCTTTTGGAACTCAGTTATATGAATATATCATGCCGATGTAAGCATTGCGACACTCGGTCTAGCTGATACCCCATAATATGTCCGAATACCACATATTTTCGGATGGGGGTGATGCTCGTCAAACGTCATTTCAACAAACATGATTTGACGGGCCCTGAATATTACCGAATACACAACATATAAATCGGTTGGGGCCATTCCATAATCGGACTCTGACGAAGTTCGGTGACTTCCATTTTATTCCTCGTACAGCCCTAAAAATGTGTTAAGTTCCGCGAAGTTATTTGAAAACTCGCATATCGACTTACACTTGTGGCTGAGATTCTTATAAACGATCAAAGTGGAATTCGGAGATTATTTTTACAAAACCTTACACCTCGGATCATGATTTAAATAATTCCGAGTTGAAGCAGTTCATTTTACTATGCGAACCGAATTCGAAACACTTTGACAAAATTGCTGAAACTTGCACAGCAAACATAAAATCAAAATCAAACATACGCAAACACTTTATATATAAATATATTCTGAAAAGTTTGGGAAATCCCTTACATATTTCCTACTAAGGGATTCGGTTATCCGATATCCCCGATTACATATCAAACTTTAAATATTTCCTACTAAGAATGCCGACATGCCGGCACCCCGATTACATACTGCAAATAAAACAAAACAAAAAACTGGAAATAAACTTCAAGCCTCATCGGTCGGCTTCTCCACATTCTCTCCGGTGCCGCTGCTTTCTCCAATTTCGGTCCCGGAAGACAATCGCTCCAAGACCTGTGATTCCTTCATCTTAGCAGCAGCTTCAATGGCCCCGTCTGGCATCGGAATGAAATCATCGCGAGGGTCAGTTAATTTCTCTGCATCATCTCCAGCCGGTGTAACCACTTTCACAATTTCAACCTCCTTATCGGCCGACCTCGTCTTCTCTTCAATATAAACTTTGATTCGGCTCTGAATCTGCTCCGGAGTCATGTCGTCGAAATGCTGTTCGACCTGCACCTCGGCCAAAGTTGAAAGGTACACGTCGGCCAGCTCTTTCCTTTTTTCCTTCTCCTCCTCCAGGATCATGTTGACGTAAGCACGGCGGAGGAGAGCAGCCCTATCCTCGGAGAGTGGTGGCAGATCAGGATTTGCATTTATCTCCTCCGAACGACGGAGCATCCACACACAGAAATCCCGTTCATCTTCATCGGCCGCCACATGCATTCCCTTTATCTCCGAGTCAAATCCGTACTTCTCCAATTTATGGAAAAAAAACAAGCGGAGGTCGTCAATATCGTAGTAGCCGGCGTCGTAGCGTTCAATAATCCACCTCAAGTTCAAACAAGTGTTCATTTCAATCTCAAGATCAGGACCGCCGACTTCATCATCTTCATCGGGCTCAGCAGCTTCCTTCTCGGCATTGCCACCGGACTTCGGTTCGACAACGACCGAATCTTTCCCGGCTTGAAAACCATTCTCATACATGAACTCACCGTAGGACGACTTCTCCCT